TCTAATGAGGAGGGACAGCAAATCTCTAAGGGTCTTTTAGCTCATGGAATCCCCAGACCACCCCTCTCTCTGCTACCTGTTTCTATCTCATGTGGTCTTTATATCTGTGTAACACCCCCAGGACAAGGCACTCAACAAGGACTCATTTTCTTTTTCCCTTTTTTGACAGGCTCACTCTCAGTTTCTCCAGCCCTGAAATGGGAGCCCCACCACCCACTTCAGAAGAACACTGCGACAATCCCAGAAAGCTAATGTGGTCACCCCCAGTATGGGAACTGCTACAGAGGAGATAGTGCAGAGACAGATTCTTTTCCCAGGCTACACTAGCTCTCCTGCATGAGCAGGCCATTTTGTTCTTTACAGGCTCATCTGTCATGTGGGCATATCCATTTCTGCCTATTTATAGGCCTCAGAGGCAGAGACGTTAGGCGAAGTGCTGGGACAGGTGGAAAGCATCCTTCTGAAGTTCCAGTGGTGAGGTGTCACTGTCCCCCGAGTTTTGAGGCATCTGTCCATGCAGTGTTCTGGTAGCCCATGTGTCCCTCCTAGGTCATAGAGTCATTGGTCATGACAGCAGCAGCTTCACAAGCCTCCCTCTCCATCATCGAAGTCATCCTTTTTTGTTTGTTTTTTGAGATGGAGTCTCACTCTGTCACCCAGGCTGGAGTGCAGTGTTGTGATCTCGACTTACTGCAACCTCTGCCTCCTGGGTTCAAGCGATTCTCCTGCCTCTGTCTCCTGAATAGCTGGGATCACAGGCACCTGCCACCACACCTGGCTAATTTTTTTGTGTTTTAATAGTGACAGGGTTTCACCTTCTTGGGGATCTGCCTGCCTTGGCATCCCAAAGAGCTAGGATTACTGGAATGAGCCACCACGCCTGGCCCTAGTCATTCTTTTACCTTCCCTTTTGCTCAGCTGCTTGGCTTCCAGGTGAAGGCTGAGCTCACAGGCGTAGAATCTGACAAGATGAAAGCACTCTGGGGGAATCTGTCATTCGTGGGCCAAGGGTCACAAGGAGGTCGTGGCCTCGTTCTCCTGCTTCGTCTCTGAGCCAAAGGCAGCTCCTCCGACTCCCATCGCCTGTCCCTGGTCCCACAGCCGGGAGTTCTTGCATCTTGGCTGTGACACTTGACATGATTTGCAACATATGGAAATCAGCCTCTGTCTGGCTGCAGAGTGCTTTTCAGTTTTCAGTCCCCAGAAGGTGTTGGAATGCAGACGGGTCTCTCTACTGCCCTAGAGAGCAGGCGGTGTTCACAACACAGGTCTCAAATAACTTGTCAAAATTGAGAAATGGGTATAGCAAGGACCCACCTGGGATTTGTGGCCTTGGGAAAGGGAAGATCCACAAGGTGCCTTCAGGGTGAGACAGAGGCAGGCACCTTTTCAACCCTCCTTTTACTGCCTGCGGGACACCTGGCTAATTAAGCTGCCTTCCCTGTGGCTGGTAGTATTCCTTTGATCTGTTGATCCCACCTGGGCCAAGTTTTAGCTGGATGACCTTGGCCAAGTGACCTAACTGCCCTGAACCATAATGTCATCGTCTGTATAAAAGAAAACAGTGCCCTGCTGAGTTATTTTGAAGATGAGAGTTAACGCATGCGGTAGGAGAGGAAAAGTAATTTTCTTCTCTGCCCTTCATGAGTTCTTAGCTGGGACTCCTTGTAACAAAAGACATATTAGCAAGAGAAAACAAAACATAAGTTTAATAATAACATGTATACATCCTGTATACATGGGAGTTAACAAAGTGAAATGAATGCAACTCTACAGTAGATCTCCAAGAGTTGTCTTAGACTTCAGGCTTAAATACTTTCTGAAACAAAGAAAGAAACGTATGGGAAGGGTAGAGGGAAGGCCTGATTAAGACAAGATGGCTAGGAATTCACCAAATCACCGTAAAACAAAGGTAAGCTTTGTTATGCAGATTTAAGTAAGTGAGTGCTTTCTCCATTTCACATTCTTAATGTGTTTATTGATTCAGCTTTCCTTCTCTCCCTGGTAAGGAGGAGACACTCTTACAAATGGAGATTTCCTTTCTAAATGTAAATTTCTCTGATTTAAAAGAGTTAACTTTCTCATGACTTCTCTTGTGTCTGCAGTTTGTTAAAGTAACAGGTCAAAATTATCCTTATGCCAAAGAGGCATATTTTGAGGTGGCATGTGCTGGTCTCCTACAGTCACATTTTGGGGTGGTGTGTCCTGAGCTCCATCAGTGTGAAATTCCTGGCAGCCTGCCAAAGACACAAAATGTTGGAGTTACTGCCATTGGTGCTTTGGAGCGCTGCTGTATCTCCAGCACATAAAGCTTGCATTTTTGGGGATAATGTGGGTATTTGATGACTGATTATTGCCTGTATAAATTCTGAAATCTGAAAATGGGAAGCTGGAAAAAATTTCGAGCTGAACTCTCTTTGCTCTTTTTCAATTTGAGATACATCTTCTGATTTTTAAGTTTCATGGTATTAAAGAAATTAATTCCCTACTCCTCTTATCATTGAAGTAATAACACATTTGTTTGCAGAGCAGCCTCTTGAAGGCTGCTGCTCCTTTCTTTGCTCATTTCCTCGTTGGTGATTCACTGCAAACTCACCCACCTGCTCCGTAGACCTGGTTCTTTGGACAGTTGCGATGCAGATAGCCTAATAACCACACATCATCAAAGGTGTGATCTTGCCTCTCATAGATGAGGTCAGGCCATACTTTGCATATTTAAAGCATGTTTTTCCTAACTTGCTACCTCATAACAAAGGAAGAGCCAAATCACACTCTCATTAGCTTCAAAGAGAAATACTAATTTTTTTTCTTTTTCTTGCATTGGCAAGAGATTTTGTTTTGCTTAAAGGAAACACAGATGACACTAATGAGACCACAGTGTCTTAATTTGCATATTAGATGAGATAAATATTGAGCTAATTAACACCTCAGATGAATTTCATTGCTTGGTACAATTGTTCTATGGTGATAGTAGTTCTCTGCTTCTTACCCAGGAGCAGAACAATTTGAAGGGAGAATCACTTCCCTACAAATAATTCAGGCCAACCGAAAATTCTCCCAGGAAATGCTCTCCAAGATTCTTATTTTAATTTATAGTCAATCTTGGATCTTCTTTCAAATTAACCCTGATCCTATGGGCAAGCTGTTACAGTCTCGTCAGTGCACCACAATATAGCAGTCTCTCGTTGCTGGACGTAGTACCGAGTCCTTTGTCTGATGGACCAAGAAAGTAGAGGCATGTGGACACCAAGGGTAAAGTTTAAGCCAAAGTTTAATCAGCACAAGGAGATTAACTTTTTGCTGATTAAAATTTTCCATTTAATCAGTGGGGACCCAGCTGTGCAGTGGGGACCCAGAGGAGGGTTGCCATTTTTACAGTTGAATGAAACTGATGAGGGCTGGGTGTCTCATTTGCAAAAGACAAAATTTCTAGTAGCTCCTCCTTGTCCTCCTACTGCATATGTGGGCTTAGCTTGAGTTACTCCATATTCCTTTGTTCTCCTTACTGCACATATGTCAGGGGACATAATTTTCCATTGCCAGCATGTCTGAGCAACTCACTTTTGCCACCTTTCTTATCTGTGCAGCCATGGGCCTGTCTTAGCAAGTTCCCTTATCTGTGCCTTCAGGCTATTCTTCTGTTTGAAATAATTCAACTGAGGACCTACCATAACTGCCTGCCTGACTGGTTTCTTCCTTCCTCCTCTCTCAAAGTGATACCAACAGATCTGCTGAACAGACCAGAGGACAGAACAGACAATGCAGGGCTGAGAGGGAGCTGTGGGGAAGGAAAGTTGCCCTCTCCAGGGTTCTGGAATAGGGTTTGGAAGGGATTAAACCTGGGTTGGACAATAATTTATTCTAAAAGCAGGAGTGGCTACATAAGGTTAAAAAAAAACAGCAAAGGTACTTGTTAACTTGGTAAGGCAGACTTTACTCAGGATCATGCCAATAGGCATATGGACCACTGTAATGGGGTTTTGCAGTCAGGGAGAGAGATTGGACTCAAGTTAAAACATGTATGGACAAGTCAAATCTAATAGCCAAGGTGCAGGGTTGGGGCCAGTGGCTGGAAAATTACTAAGAGGAAACATCAGAGATAAGGGGAGGAATTTCTGGCTAAACTGACCTAACAAGATTCTTGCTGAAGACAGGCCAGGCGATCAGACACCAGATGGGGAATGGCAGACGGTGAGGAACCTGATTAGAAACAGAGGGTGATCAGATATCAAGAGTGGGGATTCTGGCTAACCTCATTTTTCTGGGCCCCTTGCAAAATCTGCCAAGGGCACAGATGAGCCTAGGAGAAGGTCCAGGAGCCTGACCAAAGTTTGGCCAAACAAAGAAACTTTGCCAACAATTTGTTGGGCCCAGCACAAGATGGAAATGTAGAGTTCCTTGTTCAAAAATTAATTTCAAGTGTAAACTCAAGAATGACGAGGTTCCTAAATTTGGAAAGGAGAGCTTTATTTCTTGTAAAGTATTGCACCTGCAGGGTGGCTGTTCTCACCGTCTGGGAAGCCTAGTTATCAGTCAGAAGCCAGAAACAGGCCCTACGAGGGTGAAAAGAATTAGACTGGAATTCATGCTGAATGGGGTGGTCAAACACACATATTCAACAGGTTATAGGAAGATCTATGAATATTAATGAAAGGACAGATATGCATCTGGGAAATTGAGCTTTATTCTTCATGGGTTCCATGTTCAAAAAAATAGTGGCACTAATATGATAGAAGAATGGAGTTTTTGACCTTCTGGTGTCAAAAAGAGAATCAGAGGAAATGAAAACACTCACTGCTCAGTCTCCATTGATTGGCCAGAACCACTCTGTTGGTCTCTTATCAGGAAGGAATACCAGGTGGTTGCTGTGTTGAAACTGAGAGGGGAGGAGGGAAGAAACCTGTCAGGCTGGCAGGGTGGGTCCTCAGTTGAGTTCTTTCAGACAAAAGAATAGTGTGCAGGCACAGCTAAGGAAACTTGCACAGAAGGGCTTACCAAGGACATGCCTACAGCTGCATAGATAAGAAAGGCTACACAGGAGACTTGCCCAGACATGCTGTGATGGAAAATTCTGTCCCCTGACACACAGTAAGGGGAACAAAGCAGTATGAACTAACTCAAGCTTAGGCCCCACATGCGCACTAGGAGGATAGGGGTGGAGCTACCAGAAATCCACACCTTATGCAAATGAGATGCCCAGCCCTCATCTATTTCTTATAAAAGCCTCTGTATTCAACTGTGAAACGCAGCTCTTCTTCTGGACCCCTCTCTGCAGCAGAGAGTGTTCTCTCTTTCGCTTATTAAACTTTTGCTCCAACCTCACCCTTGGTGTCTACACTCCTTACGTTCATCCATCGTGAGACAAAGGACTTCCGGTGATACTTTAGCCTATGACAGACTGCTATATTGTGGGGCATTGGTGAGACTGTAACAAAACCACAAAAGGGAGGGGCAGTCACAAGACTGGTTGAAATCAAAACTGGAACAAGTCTTTCCATACGGGCGGTTTCTGGTTAACCCTTAGGAAACAAAGCCTAATGGTGGTTAGCCAGGGAGAGGGCCTAATGAGGCCTGTCCGACCTCCTAGCCCATATGGCCAGGAATTCAGTTTTTAAGGTTTTTCTGGGGTCGCATTGGCTGAAAGGGAGTCCATGAAGTTGGTTGGGGAAGCTTAGGATTTTATTTGTATTTCTCACAAGACAGCAATAGAACATTAAACCCCACGTGGGGCCCTTCTAAGTGTGGCCTCTGTTTGCCTGCACACATACGCACGAAGCTGGCTCTGTCAAGTGGAATGTTAGCTTTATAAAGAAAAAAGAACGGAGGAAAATTTAGAAAAAAATACAGCTTTCTGTCTAGCTCATTTCAATGAGCACAATGAATATAATTGGAATTAAAATTAAATGGAAACACTGAATGCTTAGCACCAGGCCTGCTATGGCCGTGCTGCCCACTCTCCTTCTCCTCCAGGGCCAGGAAGGCTGTGCCTATTGCACTTGCGGTTTTACTGACTTCACTGACTACAGAGCTCAATCCTCTCTCCTCCCAGCTGCTCCAGAGCTCCTCCCCCGCCTTCCACAACGCTTGCTCAACTTTCAACTTCGGAGTGGTAAGCTTTGCTCTGCCTTTCGTATTTTAATTGCTTTCTCTCCTGCTTTTAATGAGCAATCAGGGCTATTTCTTTATTGGGGACCTGCTGGCAAATTTCAAGCAGTGTGTGTGCATGTGAAAGGAATAGGTGAAATTCCATCCTCTGGCATTATCAGCTACAGGGAGGGGTTAAATAGACATCCATCTAAGGGAAAATGTCCACTTAACGTCCAGCCTTAATTCAAAGGAAATGTCAAGTACTCAACTAGATGCTTTGTGGCAATTGAAGAAAAGGAGGGGTGGTGGAGATACCTGAGACTGCAGCCACTGTGGGGAAATTAGCTTAGGTAGGTGTGTGCCTGTGTGTGCTGGTGCACTTGTGTGTTTCGCGTCCCACATGCTCCGTCAGAATTAACTACTTAGCAACAAAGAGGCAGGAAATAAAGGCCAGAGTATTGTGGGCTAAGTTAGGAGAAAACATGAACCCATCATTACAGAGTAAGCTGCTGTGTTAGTGCAGGGAATATTACATTTTAGGATTGCCTGGAAGGAATGGTCACTTTTGCCCCACCCAGATCTTGTTATTTTGGGGAAGTGATTTGTAATAATGTTGCCAGTGGGGTATTTGTTTCTTCAAGTTTCCGTATTTTCTGCAACCACCCTGGTGCCCCACACTCAGTTGGCTGACAGTACATGCAAGTTGAAGAAAGCCATGAAATGAGTTTCCTCCCTGAAGGAATGGAAACCTTGGGCCTTCAATTAGTCCCTTTCCTCCCGGCTGGAACTCTTCAGTATGACAAAGGAATCAGGTTACAGAGGGATGTGGGGAATTGTCCTAGCAGGACCACAGATGTCACACATGTCCTGAACTCTCAGACAGCTGAGCTCAGTGATAGCAAACGTGGCTCTGTGTCTGTGCTGTTTCTATGGGACTCCCCTGTGCCCTGAAGGACAAAGTTCCTGGTTGACAGCTACAACAGCCGTTGCCTCAAATGGGCAATTTGACCACTTAGCTCAAAGTGAGCAAATATTTTCTATGTTTAAAAAAAAATTTTTTTTAACTAACTCATCAGAATGGCAAATGACATTTTAAAAAGGAAAGTTCTGCGATCCCACCATCCAAAGCTATTGAAAAAGGATTTCCTTTTTTCAAAACAGAGGACTGGACATTTGGAAGTCTCAAATAGTCCATTATGTCAACCACCAGTGGGGTGAGTGAACATGTCATGTGTGTTTGTGTGTGTACGTGTGCGGGCTTGCTCCTTTCCAGGTTGGCACACTGCTTGTCAGTCTGAGTGTGCCATGTTTCAAGCTGTTTATGTCAGATGTAACTGTAGACTGTCTTACTCAGCTCAGGCTGCCATCTCAAAGGACTGTAGAGTGAGTGGCTTAAACAACAGACGTATTTTCTCATAGTCCTGTTACTGGAAAGGGGTTGTTGGATCGCATAGAAGAAATAATTTGGGGCACGTCCATAAAGTGAAATTAAATTAAGAAATAAGCTGGGCGCGGTAGATCACGCCTATAATCCCAGCACTTTGGGAGGCTAAGGGAGGTGGATCACCTGAGGTCAGAAATTTGAGACCACCCTGACAAATATAATGAAACCCCATCTCTACTAAAAATACAAAAATTAGCCAGGTGTGGTGGCAGGTGCTTGTAGTCCCAGCTACTTGGGAGGCTGAGGGATGAGAATCGCTTGAACCCATGAGACGGAGGTATCAGTGAGCTGAGATAGCACCACTGCACACTCCAGCCTTGGCAACAGAGTGAGACTCTTGTCTCAAAGAAAAAAAGCAAAGGAATAAAAGAATGGCTATCTCTTAGGCAGAGAAGCAGCGAGGGTTGTTGGTTGGCTATTTTTATGGTTATTTCTTGACGGTATGCTAAACGAGGGGTGGGTTATTCATGAGTTTTCCAGGAAAAGGGTGGGCAATTCCCAGACCTGAGGGTTCCTCTCCCTTTTTAGACCATAGAGGGTAACTTCCTGACATTACCAAGGCATTTGTAAACTGTCATGACTCGGGTGGGAGTGTCTTTTAGCATGCTAATGCATTATAATTAGCATATAATGAGCAATGAGGACGACAGAAGTCACTTTCATTGCCATCTTGGTTTTGGTGAGATTTTGCCGGCTTCTTCACCACGTGCTATTTTATCAGCAAGGTTTTCCTGACCTGTATCTTAAGCTGACTTCCTAGCTCATCCAGTGACTAAGAATGCCTAACCTCCTAGGAATGCAGCCCAGTAGGTTTCAGCCTCATTTTACCCAGGTCCTATTCAAATGCCTCTGACAGTCTTGGAGGCTGGAAGTGTGAGATCAAGGTGTCAGCAGGGTGGGTTTCTTTTGAGGCCTCTCTTCTTGGTGGCAGGTGGCTGGTTTCTCCCTGTGTCCTTACATGGTAGACCCTTGATCTGTGAGTATCTATGTCCTAGTCTCCTTATAAGGACACCAGTCAGATTGGATTTGGTCCTACACAAATAACTTTTGTTTGACTTAATCACCTCTTTGAAGCCCCCATCTCCAAGGGCCTTCAAGATCCACCTTCTGACGTCCTGGGGATTACAGCTTCAATCTATTAATTTTGAGGACACAATTCAGCCCATAACAATGATCAAGTGATTTCCCTTCATGTGACCAAGTGCGGGTTGCCCAAAGTTGGAGAGTAATTGAAGGCATTTGAAGAATTGGCGCAAAGATGCTCCAGGAGGAGAGGGATGGACATCTGGTTTTTCCTTTTCTGCAGGTCTCAGGTCCTTTTAACCCACTCCGTGTACCCCTTTGGTGAATGTCATTCCCATAGGGCCAGACATTAGAGGACATTCCCCGTACCAGCCCAGCCTCCTTCCGTTTCTCCTGCCAGCACAGAGGCTCACAAGACTGTCAGCTGCTGAATTTCACTCTATTGTTGATAATGTGTGCATCAAGATTTTATTAGTGACACCTGACAGAAACAATGAGGACAGAGGTGAAAAATATAAGGACTCTGGAGGAGGTTAGGGCTATTCAATGTTCTGTCTTGCAATTTTGATCCTCGATCTATCGCTCCTTCTGCCTGGCTCTTGTGAATGGAAAGGACTTTGTCCAGTAGAGACAGACAGAAAACAGCTGAACTTGATTGAGCCTAGGCCCAGGGTGCTCACTTGCTTAGCTCAGCGCCAACTGTTGGTGGTGATCAGGCAGCTTGTAATTCATAGACTCAGACAAGGAGAGCCAGGAACCACCAACACCTCTGCCTCCCACCAGCTCTAGGGCCACACAGGGCCTCCCACAGCTTCTCTTTGTTGGGGAAGTTTGGGGTCTGCCCTCTTGTGTAACCCCCTCCCCCAGTGACCACAGACCAGGTTGTCGGGCGTCTGTTTTCTGTCCAGTGTGAAGTGATATCCTGCTCTGAAGGCCGCTGAGATGCCCTTTGAAGTCAAAAGTAATTGTTCTCAGTGGTGATTTTTCTCTTTGGCTCTATTCTTCCATAGAGGGTGATAGTTCATGTTTGAAGAAGTCATGCCTAAGAGAAAAATGCCAGAAGAGGAAATGCAGGAAATGTGGCCCGCATTTGAGGGCGTGTCTCCTCTTACTTTGCTTCAATGCTGCTCTCTCTTTAGGATTCACGTGCTCCTCTTCCAAGGGGCCCTCCCTGACTACTTCAGGGTACACCAATCTCTGAGCACCACAGAGCCCCTCACCAGCTCCTCTGGAAAAGATCTGCTCCAGGGCAGAGCCTTAAATTTGACCTTTGGAAGCCAGCATGGGATTGGACACACACAGCCATTCAATAAGTGTGTATCAGATGAGTAGGGTATAGCTGAATGTCTAATAATGACACTTCCCTGCCCTACTACCCCAGACTGCTTAGATGTGACCTCTTCAGGGAGGCCACTTCTAACCTGAACATTCACTCTTTCTCTGTATAGCCTTGTACATTGGTCTACGTTTCATGTGCCTATTCCATGGTTTTTATATTTATTTGTTTACATCTCACTTTCCTCCCATTCCAGCAGAATCTGACCTATTCCTTGCGGTATTCCCCAAACCAGTAGGTTTGACTCTGTGAAGACACATGCCATGACAATTGAACTGAATTACACCTCATTAGGAGGAGAAAATAATCATGTTGCTTAAAGTATGCTGCATCTGGCTTTGGCTAATTTAGAAGCAATTACTTAATTTATTTTCTCATTATTTATGGAGCAAGTATTATGTGAAAACATAGTTCTGGGCATTACAAATGAAATAAGTGTTTATTTGTTGAGACTACCAACTTTCAGAGAGGCTACCTCTCTGCACCTCACCAGAATAGGATCAGGAATAGTGTCTGTTCTGCTCATGGCAGAACTCCCAGTGCCTAGATCAGTGTCTGGAAAATAAGGTGCTCCATAAATATCTGTAGAATGAATGAATAGCTTATGAGATACATTTTATTATCCCATTTTATGGAGAAGTTAAATCACTTGCTGAAGGCCAGACAGCTCTTACCTGGCAGAGTCATGGTTCCAGTCTGGTTTGTTTGACTCCAGTGGACGTGGTATCTCCATGTACTCCCATCCTCTCCCAGCACTGGAAGGTGGCAGTGTCTCCATCATCAACAGCTGAGGATACAGATGCTGTCAGATGGAATGGGTGTGATCCAGAAAAAGCTCTAGGTGGGACTGGAGGTAATATAGGTTATTATTGTTATCATTATAATTATTAGCAATGATATAGGAGTTAAAAAGAAAATCCTTAGGCCGATAGTGAAGGTACGGAAGTCCTTGGTAAGGTTTTCCTTTTATTGAAAAGCAGCCCCTAGATCATTTTCTTTTCTAACAAAGAGCAGCCTGTAAAATTGGGCTGCAGACCTAAACAAGTGAGCTGGATGCTTGCACAGGTGAATGTCAACAGTTGTGCCCATAGGAATAGACTACCTGGGACTAGGCATGTTCAAAATGGTGGCTCCATCTTCTCTTTTTGCCAGCCACATGTACAGTAAGGAGTCAATAAGAAGGTGCTGACCAAGCGGAAAACTCAGTTTCGTAGTAAGATTAGTGTGGGGTGACCAATCTTCCTCACGTGCTATGTAAATGTCACCCTTGGTCAAACCAATCCGTGAGCCCTAGATAAATCAGACACTGCCTTTCCAAGCTTTCCTATAAAATCTGCAGCCATCTACCGCCTTTCCCTTTTTTAGACACCTCTCTCTAGCCAGGAGCTGCTATTCTTTCTCCTTTCTTCTACCTACTAAACTTACGGCTCCTTAGCCCATCCACATATGTCTGTGTTCTCAATTTTCATGGCTTGAGATGATGAACCCCAGGTATTTACCCCAGAGAGAGATGCTGCTTCAGCAAGTTATTCTGTCGGATATTAGGGGAGGCCTCAAAGAGAAAGTGGTAATTAGCAGGGCCTGGTAGACTTAGAGATTTGTAACCTTCACATGATGGTCAGCAAAGGAACATTAATGGTGGATCCCAGGCCTGCAGGAGAGGCAGACATTGGTTTACTCACCACTTTTTTGTCCTAGAAAATTCATTAAGCAAACTTTTACCTGATACCTAGGCTGGGGCTGGATCCTGGAAGACACAAGTCCTATAATTTCAAATAATGATCTCGTCAGAGAAACCAGAGTCAGTCACACAACACAGCAATGTGGTGGGATGATGGTCACCGTACAATTCTGTTGTGTGTGGGTCATTTGGTCATGTTATGGTGCTGTTCATTATCTGGATATGTCTCTAGGAGTGTCTCAGGTTTTAACGTATTTGTTGGCCAAGGTCTGATGAATGGATCGTTTGTTTTTCAGCAAAGTAATCATCTCTAAAAGAATGGGAACTTGGTGCCTGCTGTCAACCCAAAGCTAAGGAGAAATTAAAGCTCTTGATCTGCAATTGATCAACTATTAAAGTCACAGCATGGGGTGTTTCTGTGCTTTGTCTGTTTTTGTTTTGTTTAATATTTACTTTATTGGTTGGAATGGCGTTCCTTCATTTAAGACACCTGGGAAGTGCATCTTGATGATTTATGCCACAGAGCATCCAATTTGTGGCATAGATAACAGGTGCTCTTTTGGGAGCATTAAAATGACATTGTGGTGGAATATTTATAATGAATAGCTCAAGTGATCACTCCTGTGCTGACGGCTCAGGAGTCGCTGTCTCTGCTTGAGGAGCAGACTGTGATGTCGCCTCCTCTGTGTTGATAGTCCCTGACCCTTTTGGAAAAGAAAACAGAGATGACAGACTCTTACTTATTTATTTCCAGGAGTGAATCTTGTTTTTGATGTTTTAACACATTTATTTAATCCCACAGCCTGCTCTGCATGGAGCCATGACTATCCCCATTCTAAAGATGAGAAAACAGGAGCTCAGAAAGCTCAGGTGAGTTGCCTGAGGTCACACAGCTTGTCAGAGTCGGAGCTCAGTTTGCCAATGCCTCAAAAATCAGTGTCTTTTTTCTTTATAATACATTTTTCCTTCTAGGCTTTCAAATTCCACTCACTGGTTTTTAAGATGTCTTGTGTTTGTGTGTTTCTGTGACAGTTGGAGAGATAAAAGGTTGGGTCTAATCTCACATATGAGGTGATGTGTGCTCCCAGAATCCTCTCATCTCTGCTCTAGGCTGGCCTGATTTGTAGACTCCTCAGGAACCCCAAAGTAATTGATACAGGTCCCAGTCAATGTAGAAAGTTTATTTTGGTAACATTAAGGACACACCCCTAACACAGCCTCAGGAGGTCTGACAGCATGTGCCCAAGGTGGTTGGGGTACAGCTCACTTTTGTACACTTTAGGGAGACATAATACATCAATCATTACATGTAAGATTTACATTGGTTGGATGGAGGGGGGACTTTCAGGACATAGGTGAATTAAAAAATTTTCTGATTGACAATTGATTGAAAGAGTTCTTATTAGTAAAAAGGACTGTCTAGGTTTCTGTAAAGGGTTGTGGAGACCAAGGTTTTATCATGCAGATGAAGCCTCCAGATAGGAGGCTTCAGAGAAAACAGATCAGAAAGGTTTCTTGTAGGACTTAAGGTCTGTTTCTTATAGGACTTAACATCTGTGGTGTTGTTAATACTGGAGGGGTGTAAGGAGTCATGTTCGATCCCCTCTTCCGTCATGGTCTAACTATATTTTCGGGTTAACTCCAGAATGCTCTTGGCTAACAGGAGGGATCCAGTCCATTCAGATATCTGGGCGGGGGGCTTAGAATTTTATTTTTGGTTTGTGATGGCATGGCGAATAGAGTGGGAAAAGTTACCGGGTATTAACCATTGTCCTGTGTATCTTTGTTTTGTTTTGCTTTATGCAAATACTCTGGAATGGACATCCTACCTGCTTTGTTTTTGAGACAAATTTCCTCTCTGTGTCCTAGGCTGGAGTGCAGAGGAGTCACGATCTTTGTTCATTGCAACCTCTGCCTTCCAGCTTCAAGTAATTCTTGTGCCTTAGCCTTCTGAGTAGCTGGGACTACAGGCACCCGCTACCATGACTGGCTAACTTTTACATTTTTAGCAGAGTCAAGGTTACGCTCTGTTGGCCAGGCTGGTCCCCAACTCTTGACCTCAGGTGATCTGCCCGCCTCGGCCTCCCAAAGTGCTGGGATGACAGGTGTGAGCCACTGTACCCAGCCTGTCCTGTGTATCTTACATGAGCTAACGTTTTAAACCTGAAGAACAACTCAATGTGGTATATCCTATTATTTCCATTCTGCACAAGATGAACTGGAGTTATAACAATTTTCAATGAGTTACTGAAAGTCGTTAGACAATCAGGAGTCAGAGCTGGGATTTTAAATCACTGCTATCTTACACCAAAGTCCACACTTTTTCTATTGGGTTATCATGCCTCCTAGTTGGGGACAAATGGGAAAGTAGAGACACCTTTAGATGGAATGTGACATGAGGGTGATGGTGAATGAGTGCTTATCCCTGGGAGGGGACAGTATGTGAAGGTGACTAGCCTGTGTGAGGGGTGTCAGGGATACAGGAAGTGGGCCTTCAGGGGGTCAGGCTGGCCAGTACAGGGGGTGGCTGAACTCCAGACTGGACAGAAGATTAGGTAAAGGGGCCTCTCATCCAGTAGGTAGGGCAGTAGAGAAGGCTGAGCTGAAGGTAATGACTGTCCTGTTTTCGAGATTCCCACGCACCCTGCGCATTAAATAAAGAAGGTGAAACCACCGTTAAAGTTGCCCTGAATGTTTGTCACTTTTCCCATTCCCAGCCTCCCTTTCGATATTGTTTTTGTTTTGTTTTATGATTGGCTGCAGTAAAGCTAAGTCGGGCTAAAAAGAGACATATCCACTCTACTTTGAAAAGTGTAACTGAGGAAGCAAGAAAGTCTATTTTATATTCTGTTTTCACTGATATTTGAGACAAAGCAGTCACTGTCAAGATTGGAGTTAGCTGGCTGGAGGAAGTTCAATAGTGTTACACAGGCTGGGTCACGGCTCTGTCCGGGGGAAATTTGAAAAATGCTAAACAGATTGTGTCCTGGCTCTGCATTTTGAGCTTCTGATAGCAAACCGGAAGTGATTCTTGCTAGTAATGGCGGTTTTACAATGCACAGGGCAAAGGCAAAAGCAGAGGTTTGCCCCCAATTTCATATCCAGGCTATAAAATGCTGCTAATCTTGAGGTTAGCCTAAAAACATTAGCACTTAGAGGCTAGACTTAGAAGAAGCTGGCAACTAGTAAGCAAAGTTTAAGAAACAGAAACATAGTTCTCGAAGCCAGAAGTGGGCAGTCCAGGGCATACAGACCATGGAGGACAAGAGTCTCAGGAATACCCGTTTATTCACTCCAGACATATCTATTGAGGGCTTACTAGGGTGGAGATAAAGATAAAATCATTGCCTCATAGAGCCATATTCTAGGGGCTGAAATGTGTGCCAGAAGTGACCTGTAGCCTCCCCTACCTGGGTTACAGATGATCAGCAAGGCTTTCTGAATGAAGGTCTTGATAAAAATGCAGATTCTGATTCAGTAAGTTTGGGGTCGATCCCAAGAGTGCAGTGCTGCAGAATCCCAGGTGAAGCTGAAGTTGAGGTTGCCGGCTTCACTGTTAGGAGCGAGGCTTAGACTCAGAGCCCACTGCTATTCTCTATTTTACTTACTTATTTCAGTTTGTGGCGTAACATGAATCAAATTCGCCTTCCAGAGCATGAACTTCAGCATACTCCATAAATGTACTCACCATCTTGAGGAAGGAGCTGGAGATAAAGTATAGATAGAGACCTCGATGAGGCATAGTCAACTGAGTGTTAGAGTCAAACTCTTTTTCCTAGAGAGGTCACAGGAATAGGCCTTCTCATAAGTTGATATTCTTCTTTGCCCGGATTTTGGGGACTGTTTCTAGTCACATGGAACCTTGACATGGGTCCAAGTTTATGATACTTTTACCACCTTGTATTTTCAGGAGCAGCCCCCAGTCTGTGATTTGTTCCTTTTGTCTCAACAAAAACTCATTTATTTTCAGGCCTCGAGTGCCTGTGTTATCACATACATGTAAACATATATATCCATCCTCGTTTCTGGGTCATCTCAGTGATATGTGGACCACTTGTGGACTCCAAACCTGCAAACTCCCAATTAGATACTAGAATTTAATTGATTTCGAACCCTCCAGCATATAGAGGCAGCAGACCTGGACTTGGCTTCACAGGAGTGCTCTGTTACTTTATTATAATAGACACGCAAAGTTGTGAGGATGTGTGCACGTGGAACTGAATAATGGCTTCTGAAAATTGGAAATCCACTTTAAGTGGGAGGCCATCTCATCTGCACCCTGGAGTATGAGAAGGAGTTAAAACCTCTGAATGAGTGTGGGGAGAGACACGATGGGGTACAACAGGCTATCAGGAAAAGAATGTTGTGTTTGGAAATCAGGGCTGGGTGCAGGATGAGGAGCAGAGAGTCCAAGCCTTGTTCATTTGGCCAGAGACCAGAAGCTTCTGCTCACCAAAGAGTTCCAGGAGAGATGAAATTTCATCACGGAGAAAGGGGATTGACACACGGCCAGCAGAGGCAGATGAGTTTCTGAGACAAAATATGCAGTCTAGGGTAAATGCTATTTAATCTAAAATATAAACTACAAAGAGAGTAATTGTTTAGTCATTGGGGGACCTTTGAACAATTCCTTTTCTGCTACTCTTTTCATTTTAGCACCATTATCTCTGTGCTGCCGACCTGTTTCCCTGCCAAATGGGTGTGTAACCAAGTTAATGATGCTATTAGCTAAAGCTCACTGTAAAAAGGGAAAATTTAACCTAGGCCAAGGAGAAAAAAAAGCCCTAATTTTATAAACTACTGTTTTGTGAACTTTTTTATTCTCACAAAGTTTGGAGAAAATGGAGTTGGCCATAAGTAGTAGCAGAGTGCAGAGCACCACCATTTACTGATTTTCCTCCAACAAATATAATCACTGTAGACCACATACTTACTAGAAACCACTGGACTCTTGATTAAAGGGCGTAGATCTTTAGATTTCCACATAATTAAGGATTAATAATTGCCACACACCGTGCCACCAACGCAAAGTGGGGTTTAACCTTCTTCAGTCACATTTATTCTAAAATTCACCCAACAGTTCCAGTTTCAGACTTTGTGGATACACATGTGGTTGCTGAAAGCCATACAGGCAAAACCAATTTTGCTCATTTTCTCTTTAAGAGAAAACCTAATAAAACCTCTAAAATGCTTCAGGATGTCTGAACGATATTTTTAAGTCATTTGCAGATAAGAAAAGATTCCATAGCCCCAAGAAGTGGAATAAATACTGGCCACCTTCATTAACCTGCTAAATTTCAGGAAGAGATAATGGTCTCTAAGAGAGGCGCACGTTTGATTTTCAAGCCTGAGGACACTTTCATGATGACACCCGCAGTGATTGGCGGGGGAGGTTTGCTGCAGTTTATTTCAAACAACGTGGTGTTTGGGCTGATTCATTTGTTCACACATTTGACAAACACAAAGGGATGAGCTGGGAGGCTTAGGTGAGAAAATAAAACAGTGATAACTATAGCAAAGAATACAGCACCTGCCTGCACAGTGTTTACAGTCTAATGTCTGAGACAAACACAGAAGGACCACGGGAATAATTCTAAGATGATAACCATGGTAAGTGTTTCAAAGAGGGACGCCTTGGTGCTGTGATGTGTGAAACAGTGGGAATTGATGAGGTCAGGAAGGATAGCAGTGGTGTCCAGAGGTAAAAATGTCTCTTCAGAGGTTAAGGGTTTATCCCCGCTCCCTTTTTTTTTTTTTTGAGACAGTCTTGTTCTCTTGCCCAGGCTGGAGTGCAGTGACACAGTCTCAGCTCACTGCAACCTCTGTCTCCTAGGTTCAAGCAATTCTCCTGCCTCAGTTCTCTCCTGAGTAGCTGGGATTACAGGCTCCCCCCACCATGCCTGGCTAATTTTTTGTATTTTTAGTAGAGATGGAGGTTTCACTATGTTGGCCAGGCTGGTCTCGAATTCCTGACCTCGTGATCTGCCTGCCTCAGCCTCTCAAAGCACTGGGATTATAGGCGTGAGCCACTGCACCTGGTCCACCTCACTTTTTGGAATTCTTCTGTTCTCTGAATGTGAGCAGTGAGCCAAGTGAAGCCTGGTCTCTGGTGCTCCCGGCCTCTTGTGATGTCCCTGGTATCAATCAGCTTTGGGATAATGTTCTGTTATTGTTTGCATGTTTCTGGATTATGTTTTACGTATTAAGTCTGATCAGGCTTTGCTGTGACTAGCCTCTCAGAAGTAGTTAAACTCTGAATCACTGAAATAAAATATTTTTCAGCTCCTATCAGCTGGCTCCTTAAGTCGCTGTTCCTGTGTCTGGAGATAAATCTTGGCTACAGCCGTCTGCTTTTTCTACTAAATTGCTAGCTCACCTCTACTTGAATGCTTCCAGAGATGGAAACCTGGCTGCCTCCCGAGGCAGTCCTCCATCTTTGGACAGCTCCACATATTAGCAAGACTTTCTTTAGAGTAAGTTCTGGCAGCATCTTCTGTTTGGTCATATGTGTTCTGGAGTAAGGCTTAATGGAGATGAGATGGAAGGAAACTTATGTTCTGAGGGTCTCCTCTCCTGAGTTTCTTGGGGGACAGGGGGACTTGAGACCTTCTGAAACCTAATGATGTAACAGAATAGGACATATGTAATCAGTTTGAAAACATGTGCTGGTAGTTGAGTTTCTTCAGCGATGGATTATCATATTCCCTGTCTTAATCAGTTTGGGCTGCCATAAGAAAAGCACCATAGACTTGGGTGGCTCAATAAATAACAAACATTTCTTCATCACAGTTCTAAAGGCAGGGAAGTCCAAGATCAAGGTGCCAGCTGGCTCAGTTCCTAGCAAATGCCTGCTTCCTTGTTTGTAGAAGGACCCTTCTTGATGAGTCCTCACATGGCAGAGAGAGAAGAGAGAGAAACAACTCTCTTTTTATAGACACTAATCCCATCACGAAGGCTCCACTCTTATGACACAGTACTACCTGAAGGTCCCACCTCCTAGTACCATCATATTGGGAATTAGGTTTTACCATGAATTTGGCCCCTCTCCACTGATATGGTTTGGCTCTGAGTCGCCACCTAAATCTTACCTTGAATTGTAATAATTCCCATCTGTCAAGGGTGGGACCAGGTGGAGATAATTAAATCATGGGGGCAGTTTCCCCCATACTGCTCTTGTGATAATGAGTGAGTTCTCACGAGATCTGGTGGTTTGATAAGAATCTGGCGTTCCACTGCCGGTGCTCACTCTCTTGTCTGCTGCCATGTGAGATGCGTCTTTGCTTCTCATGATTGTGAGGCCTCCCCAGCCACGCTGAACTGTGAGTTCATTAAACCTCTCTCCTTCATTCATTATCCAGCCTTGGGTATATCTTTATCAACCACGAGAAAACAGACTAATACATCCACTCTCCATCATCAAACTTAACACTATACATAAAGAAATCCGTGAGAGGCCACAAGTGGCTTGAATCTGTGCTCCTATCTCCGCAGGACTAGTCACAATAGCCTGGAGGTAAACCCTTTCTTGCCAACTCCTTTAAGTCACCGAGACCCTTTTTCACTCTGCTTCTAGATTCACTGGGTACTCACAATATTACAACTGGGAGTATGAAGAGCTAGCCTGCTTATTTTCTTGAGTTGGTTGTTATTATAGATTCTCCCTACCCTCATATGCACACTGTTCTCATGCAGCTATAGATAGAGTGCAGACCCAGGCAATGCCTGGCAATGCGGGTTTCCACAGGTAGCCTGGCATGCATCACAGTGGTAGGTGGTAGATCCACACTTAAGAGGTATAATCAGATCAGAAGGGCTGAGGAATTCACACTGTAAAACTACTACTACTGAAAGAAGAACTCATTTAATTTTGCATAAGAAGAGTGATGAAACAAAAAATCCCTGGAATATCATGTTCTCTTCTAAATATACACCTCGAAGGCTGATGTCTTTCTGTCCCACCTGGCAGTGTGGTTGGCTCTCAAGGAATTAACCCTACTCTGCCAAAGAGGAGTTTGAGTTTGCATTCAACTTATGAGGAGCTCTACGTGTAGATGTAGCATTTTATTGCCTACCGCATGCAACACATAACGTACAGTGCCTTACATGTTCTAGCAGATCCCGTCACATGGATTCCATTGTGCCCATTTTTCAGATGAGAAAAATCAGACAATTAGGAAGAAACTGCATAAGTAGGACTCTGGATTTGTCTGCCTGGGAAGCTCTGCTTTTCCATCAAGTTGTCTCTTTAGGAGGCAATGCTTTGTGACAAGGCATTGGGATGGCTTGAGGAAGGGGCAATGTTGAAGGAGGAAGCCTCAGCTGCAGGCAGGCTGGCATTTGTGCTGCTGTAGATGCATAGGGCAACAGGAGGAAGACCACTAATGGTGGAGAGAATGGGTGGAGGTGTCTCGGCAGATGTTGATGTGCAAAAGAACCTTAATGACTGGAAGTCAGTCAGGCTGGATGGGGCACACAGGTGGGCTGAGTCCTAGCAGAGGATAATTCAATAAGTATTCAGAAGAGGATGTCAGACTTCTCACAGTTGCTTGCAGGTGGAGCTGGTTATGGAGAAGGGAGAGCTAGAGATGCTTCCTCTACAACTGCAATTCTCTAGCTTGGTATTTCTGGACCTCACAACTGTTGACATTTTGGGCTGAGTATTATTCATTGTGGGGGGGGGGCAGTCTTGTTTATCATAGTGGGATTAACAGCATCCCTAGTCTCTTTCCAATCCTGACAACTAAAACTGGCTTCAGACATTGCCCAAAGTCCTCTGAGGAGCAAACCCGCCCCCCAGTTGAAACTCTGCTCTAACTCAATATGCATGGCAATATTAATGGCAGGTGGCTTCACTCTCCTTTATACAGATAGAGCAACTGAGGTTAATGGTTGCAAAATTTGTACCTCGGAATGTGGAGTTTGAAACAACATTTGTTCTAATTTTATACAAGACTCTGCCTTCCTGCCAAGGGGTACAAAGGACAGGGACCTCTTGGACTCGCTTGCTGGGAGCTTTGTTCTGTTTCCAATGCTTTGTTCCTTGCCTCTGGCTTGGTTTGCTTATCCAAACAGGCAGGAACGCCCTATGCAGGGTGAGAACAAATTGCATTGTTGGATTTTAATCCCTTTAGGTACGCCTTATTAATGCTCTTGCATATCACACTGTGAACGCGTTCCTTCATTCTCAAACATTTACTGAGTCCCGTCTGTGTCCTAGGCATGAAGCTTAAGGCTGGGGATGGAAGGATGAACCAGTCACACCTGACTCCTGCTATCCTGTACTTTATATCACAGCTCGAGACAGACGGCAGCAGCAAATCCAAACCTTGCAGTCTGATGGGAAATACAGGATGGGAGACCCAGCCAGAAAAATTGAGATCTGAAGGGTGAGACACTACCAGCTCTATGACCATGGAGGGAGGTGGAGCAGAAGACAGGCACAGGGAACAGCCAATGCAAAGGGCCTCAGGCGAGAAAGAGCTTGGTCTGCTTTAGAAACTAGCAGAGAAGTTTGTGGGGGCCTGATTTGTAGTGAGATTCACCACCCTGACTCTAGTGCCTGACCACTGGGAGTCCCAGCTAATCCCTCTATGCACAGATTTTCTTTCTTTCTTTCTTTTTAAGATAGAATCTCACTATCGCCTAGGCTGAAGTGCACTGGTACACTCTCGGGTCACTGCAACCTCTACCTCCCAGGTTCAAGCAATTCTCCTGCCTCAGCCTCCCAAGTAGCTAGGATTACAGGCATGAACTACCATGCCCAGCTAACGTTTTGTATTTTTAGTAGATATGGGGGTTTTACCATATTGGCCAGGTTGGTCTCAAACTCCTGACTTCAGGTGATCTACCTTCCTTGATCTCCCAAAGTACTGGGATTACAGGCGTGAGCCCACACCCAGCCCACGAAGTCTTTGGCATGGAAAAGCAGACAGAGTGACTTGAATGCATTTGGAAGATGATGAACTCCCAGCCTGACGAATTCTCTGGAGACAAAACACTGCCTCCATGTATGCCTGCTGCTTTTTCGGCCTTTCAAACCCACCTGTGCTGTTCCCATCTTAAATTAAGCAGGATCCGTGGGTCCTCAGTAGCTGCCTTGGAGACTTCATCTTCCTGAACTCCTTCAAGCCAAAGCCTGGTCTCTTCTTCCCACTGCTAGGGCTTCGAGGCTCTGCCTTGGCCGCACCTGTGTTAGGCGACCCACCTGTGCGTCTGTCTCACCTTCTGTCCTGGTTCTTCTTCTCTGCTTTGCCCTCTCTCTAGAATTCTATGCGGTGAACATGTACTGGCTTTAGAAGTCTCCTGTCTTTTTTTTTGAGATGGAGTCTTGCTCTGTCACCCAGGCTGGAGTGTAGAGGCATGATCTCTGCTCACTGCAACCTCCGCCTCCTGGGTTTAAGCGATTCTCCTGCTCAGCCTCCTGAGTAGCTGGGACTACAGGCGTGCACCGCCATGTCCAGCTAATTTTTGTATTTTTAGTAGAGATGGGGTTTCACCATGTTGGCCGGGATGGTCTCGATCTCTTGACCTTGTGATATGCCCGCCTCGGCATCCCAAAGTGCTGGGATTACAGGTGTGAGCCACTGTGCCATGTGACTCTCCTGTTTTATTCTCACCCATCCCTTTCCCCAGGGGCAAGGCCATGGGTATCATCTCCCTTTCTTTGCTCAGCTTCCCTAACTGTTCCCCCGAACAGATTACTCTCCTGCCCTGTTGTCTTGGGGTTTGCATGGAGCCTGGCCCTCTCTGTTAGGAGAAATATGCCTGCCTACTGTCTCTGTGTGGAGCCTGCACTGTGAGCTTGCCTGAAGCTATGTGAGCCTTGGGCATCCAGGGAAAATTAAGCCACAATTCCTGCCTTCCAGGATGCATAGCCTCCTGGCTGAGGAGGGGCCAGAATCTCAGGGACAAGGAGGCAGCCCCATGGCACCATGAGACAAGGCTGGAATTTGCCTTGTCTCCAGAAGCCTGAGTTAGAATGCAGTGCAGAAAGGCAGGAGCTGTGGAAGCTCAGGCAAGTCCCTTCATATACACAACAGACCGGGCAGGGGAAGCTATGGGAGTGTTCCTGGCTTGGGCATCTGTTCAGTGACACTGGCTCCCAGTTTGTCTCTGGCTGTGGGCTCCTCAGCATCTTTCTTATTTTCTGAGACCCAGTGGCAGCTTCTGTCTCTCTCCCCCTTATGTCTCACAACCATTTCTCAGATGGATTGCAAATAGTGTTTCTCCTCAGCCTCCATTCTCCTGGAAGCCTAGGGTCATAGAAGAATGTAAAGTTGGTCATATAGATGAGGATCAAAAGGAGACTTCACAATTCACTGGCTGTGTGATTTCTGACAAACGGCTCAACCTTGCTGGGTCTGTTTCCTCATATGTAAAATGGAGATAATGGCACCTTTGCAGCGGTGCTTGAGAAACAAGGATGGAAGCCCTAGACAAGGCTGGGGACTTAGGAGTTTTCACCAAGCCCCTTAGTTTCCGCCTCCCTTCTTCTCTCCCTCTCTTCTCTCCTTTGCCTCCCTCCTTTCTTTCTTCCTCTTCTCTCCCTTCCTCTCTCTCTTCCTTCCCTTCTCTCTTATTCCTCTCTCCTGAATGAATTCTGGCAAGATCACTTGAGGACGTATATCCTTTGTCTCCCTGTGAGAGCCCCCTCCCCACCTTCATGTAATTGTCAGCAACAAAGTTGGAAAATACAGACGTCTGAAGCAGCTCTCAGCACTGCAACATCTGCACCAGACAAAACTCAAAAAGCCCTCAATCCCCAGTCATGAATGCACTATAAAAACAATGTGGCAGAAATGAAAATTGTTCCATCATAATATTTCACAGTTCTTTTTGACAAAAGCCAAGCCGCCCTCATGAATACACATTTCCCAGCATCTTATGCATTATGCATCAGCCTATAGCAGGGGACCAGGGAATTGCCGGTCCCTAGTAAAGGGCCTTTGAAAGTGCCTATTTTGTAAACAAATGGAGCCCAGGCCCAGCACTCAGAATCTTTAGGTAATTTAAGACTGACTCCAGCTGCCCTGAGTGGGGACTGGCTCTTCTCAGGGCTGTAAAAGGCAAAAGAGTCTCTAATGTTCACATGGTGGAGAGGGGGTGAGTCAATGTTCTGTATTCTAATCTCCAATTTTATAACATCCGAGACAGCCATTCAGAGGATCTGGGACAATTCCTGTAAGAGCCAAATGTCACTGGAATGCCAGATGAGCCTGCTAAGGCTGGTTTTCTGGCCACGCAGTCAGTAGTCAGGACTTGACTCCTAAGTGCCACAAACTGCATAGAAGCTTGCAGTGAGGATGCTGATGAGTGTCTGTCTGTCTCAGGTGGCTTGTAGGAGACACTTTTGTTTGCCCCGTGCCAGCAAATTGGAAGTGGGAATGAAATGTGCCTTACTGTCCATAGGAGGAGAGTTGAAGTTCATTAACTAGCCCCTGTGTTTCCAAGACAGGTGTACTGAGGCCAGATTTTTTAAGTAACATGTTCAAGGTCACATTGAGAGTGAGCAGCAGGTCAGGGACTGCTGGGAGCCCGGCATCTTTCACAGTGCTTCCCACCGCCTCAATCATGGGTTGGCAGGGCCTGAAAAGACCACGGGCAAAATGGTTTCTGATTGCTACGATTTGAGTAAAGGGCAGACTGGGATCCTTAAAACAGCCCTGGAAAAGAACATCATGCAAGGCCATTTTGTATAATTTGCAATCTGTCCTCTATGGTACAGATTTAAATGGTGACCGATAGATGATAGATACTGACATCATCTCTGTTGCAATAACAAGATGGTGATTGATTCTTTGCTATGTGTATTTATTTCATAAAAGCATTCAGGTCACATTAGGATGTCAGGCAAAGGGAACTGAATTGAGAAGTGGAAATTTGGAGTTCCAGGGTTGGACATGCCCTATTCTTGCCTTCTTTGGACCTCAAATTCTCACCTGTTAAATGAGGGGTTCAGCAGGGATGATCATTGGGTTGCATCCCATCTAAAACATCCCTCCTGTCTGTGGCTGAGCACCGGCATTGTGCAGGGGGCACACCTCATGCTGAACAGCGCACCTGCACGGCTGGGCTCCCTGAGGAGGGGTGAGGGGAGGTGGGAGAGACCCTGCTTAGGGAAAGTCGAGGGAAGTTCCTTAGTACTGCTCCTCGTGCCTGGAGCTCTCCAGCTGCAGGACTCGCTTGCTGATTGATGCAGTTTGACTAATGAAAACAACTACTGAAGGCTGATTAAGATGAGGCAACTTGTTACTCCTCACAGACACCTGCAGGAATGTACTTAGGCACTTAGGCAATGGCTGCTTCCCCAGCCTCTGCTGACCTGCAGAACAGGCTGACGGTGGGTGTCAGTTGGAAGGGAGAAAAATTGGAATCATTAAGCCACCTGTAGCATGGAGAGCCTGCCCAGGACTTTTTTTTTGAGACAGTCTCACACTGTCACCCAGACTAGAGTGGTGCAGTAGCACAATCTCAGCTCACTGCAACCTCCTCCTCCTGGGTACAAGCAATTCTCCAACTTCAGCCTCCTGAGTAGCTGAGATTACAGGCATGCACCACTATGCCCAGCTAATTTGGGGCAGGTTTTCTTCTTTTTTTTTTTTTTGTAGAGACAGGGTTTTCCCATGTTGGCCAGGCTGGTCTCAAACTCCTGACCTAAAGCAGTCTGCCCACCCAGCCTCCCACAGTGCTGTGATGATAGGTGTGAGCCACTGCGTCTTGACCTGCTCAGGACTCTTGAAGCCTAGAATACATGGTTCTTAAACTCTGTGTGTGTGTGTGTGTGTATGTAGAGGGGAGATGTTTGTAAGTTCTAGGTGATATTGCTGGCCCAGGACCTGTACCTTAAGAAACACTGGTATAGAGGCCAGGTGCAGTGGTTCATGCCTGTAATCCCAGCACTTTGGGAGGCAGAGGTGGGTGGATCACCTGAGGTCAGGAGTTTGAGACAAGCCTGACCAACGTAGTGAAACCACATCTCTACTAAAAATACAAAAAATTAAAAATAAAACAAAAAACACTGGTTTAGGGAAAAAAAAAGACTACCTAAAGATCCTCCATTTTCATGTCTCAGCATCTTCAAACTATTCAAAAATATCCCCAAAAATCTGTGAAAAAATAACTTCAGCTTCTACAACTGGCACAGTGGCAAGTACAAAGCCTCCCTGAATACCGCAAATGGCTATTTATTTGATTTCAAACTAAGAAATAATTCTTCTGAATTAGGAAAGTAAAATATTCAGTTTGGAAGCTTTAGAAATACAGAAGAGTATTAAAATGAAAATAAAGTAACATAAAAACACATCACATAAAGGTAACAGCTATTGGCCAGGTCTGGTGGCTCATGCCTGTAATCCCAGTACTTTGGGAGGCCGAGGCGGGCAGATCACGAGGTCAGGAGATTGAGACCATCCTGGCTAACACGGTGAAACCCCATATCTACTAAAAACACAAAACAATTAGGCAGGCATGGTGGCACGCAGCTGTAATCCCAGCTACTTGGGAGGCTGAGAAACGAGAATCACTTGAACTCGGGAGGCAGAAGTTGCAGTGAGCTCAGATCGTACTATGGTACTCTAGCCTGGGTGGCAGTGCAAGACTCTGTATCAAAAAAAAAAAACAAACACAAAGGACAGCTGTTTACAAACCAACCTTCTTTTATTTTTGCCTGGTGAATGTGTAAATATGTGTATGTGAGTCTTGGCCCTGGTCTTATGCAGTTTGCCTGAACTGGGATTCTTGAGATGATTGGTAGTATTATGAACAAAATAGTAAAAACAACAAAACCAGAAAAATCCACAACAATGCCAAAGGTATGTAGTGGAGGCTGATTGGAGGCAAAAATCCTTGAAAAATGTGGAGGTAACCAAAAGGTAAAAAGCTGAAGAGTCTTTCACCAGAGCAATTAAACTCCATGAGCCCTCAATACGGTACAGGCACTTGGAGAGGTGGTGTTCTCCTAAATGAGCATCCTTATGGAATTCCTCCTCTTCCCCCATCACCCCTCATCCTCACGCCAAGCTTTGTAAGGGCTGAGGTGTATTAACAGTCCTAAAACAAATGCCAGGGGAGTTGTAAGAAATGCACTCGGGGTGTAAAATGCTGTCTAGTTTAAGCTTCATATCACATCATTCTCTTTCGTTGGTCATCTTGGGTTTTCTAAAAGAAGCTGACTTATTTTGTTGAAAATGTAGTAAATAAACAAGAAAGAGTCATTTCACCTCCATTATCTATTATCACTCCAGAAAATCAAGAGCCAGCATTTAAACAGCACATTTACACAAATCAAATGGGTTTTGTTGTTGTTTGTTTGTTTTTTGAGACCGAGTTTCACTCTGACACCCAGGCTGCTCTGCCTCCCAGGTTCAAGGGATTCTCCTGCCTCAGCCTCCTGAGTAGCTGGGACTACAGGTGCACACCACCACATCCAGCTAATTTTGTATATTTAATAGAGTTGGGGTTTCACCATGTTAGCCAGGCTTATCTCGAACTCCCAACCTCTGGTGATCCACCTGCCATGGCCTCCAAAAGTGCTGGGATTACAGGCATGAGCCACCACACCTGGCCAAGTATTCTAGGTGTGTGTCTGACTTGGTTTCAGATGGAAGCCTCTTTGAGGCTAGGGGGATTTCTCACAGATCCTCGTGGCCCAAAGCCTAGCATAGTCCCCTGCAGCAAGTGTGTACCAACACACGCCCAGAGGACATGACAATAGGCTTTCTTATTGTTCTCTTTCAGCAGAGGCAAAGAGTAAATGCTAATTACATCTGAACTTGAGAAACAACAATAAGCCAACTGCCATGGGCCCGTAGGAGTAGGAGAAGATAATTCAAGCTCTTGGGAATGACTTAGAGGTAAGTGCTAATCCACCCCAGGGATGTCTCAAGATGTTCTTTTTCACCTGCTGATGGTTTTCCTTAGGAGAGAAGCCTTGGGTATTTGCAAAGTCTCATATATTGATTGTATTATGTTTACTTTGTTTATAAATGTTACAACTTCTACCCAGAGTCTACCGGATTTACATGTTTAAAGCACTGTTTTTGTTCAAATCCGAGATGGTCTGTGGGTCCTGGGTACTCAGCACAGCATTCCTGGTTTTCTGCAATTGGCATGGCTCTATCTGTCTTGGGTTATAACCTGAATTTATCTCTGCAAAGACCACAGGCCTGCGTTTGCCGGGAGCACAGGGATATGCGGTCCAACAGCACCTCAGTTTCCAGGATCTAGTTTCAAGAGCCAGTTTCATTGATCAACTTTGGGATGTATGTGCTCTCTTTGACATTACCCTCTCTTTACATTCCAAACAGCATGTGCCTGACATTGCTTTCACTTCCCAGTGAGTCAGAACTGGAACTAGCTAATGATGGGGATCCCTTCATCATGGAAACTTGAGAACATTCACCTATTCCATTCCACTCTTTTTCAGCATACAGGATTATTAAACCACCAAAGCAAGCAGCCTTTCCAATGCTACTCTAATTCTATTAATGCAGCCTAAATTCATGTTGGCAAACATAACATGCTATTGGTTTACATTGAGCTTGTGGTCCCCTAAGAGCTTCAGCCATTTATTTTTTTAAAATTTTTAAATTTTTTGACACGGAGTCTCACTCTTGTTACCCAGGCTGGAGTGCAGTGGCCCGATCTTGATTCAATGCAACCTCTGCCTCACGGGTTCAAGTGATTCTTTTGCCTCAGCCTCCTGAGTAGCAGGGACCACAGATGTGTGTCACCATGCCCAGCTAATTTTTGTATTTTTTTTTTTTCGAGACGGAGTTTTGCTCTTGTTACCCAGGCTGGAGTGCAATGGCGCGATCTCGGCTCACTGCAACCTCCGCCTCCTGGGTTCAGGCAATTCTCCTGCCTCAGCCTCCTGAGTAGCTGGGATTACAGGCACGTGCCACCATGCCCAGCTACTTTTTGTATTTTTAGTAGAGATGGGGTTTTACCATGTTAGCCAGGATGGTCTCAATCTCTTGATCTTATGATCCACCAGCCTCAGCCTCCCAAAGTGTTGGGATTACAGGCATGAGCCATCACATGTGGCCGACCTTCAACCATTTGTAAGTCTCCATTCTATCAGCTGCTGTCATGTTGCATGTCTCACCTTCATATATTTTATTTAAAAAAATAACTAAATGTAGAATCTTAGAAACATCTCCCTGATTATTCTAAGCCTACTGTTCTGGTTTGGTCAGGCTTTTTTGAAGATTGGGCCTGAGATTCTCTGCGTTAACTTTTTCTCCATGTTTTTTGTCACTTGAAGAAAGCAAGTTCTTGTCTCCATAAACTTTTCCTTCAAGGTTTCAGCCCTGGGTTTAACACTGTGGGACTTTGCAGGTTCAGCACCCTCCCTGAGCTATTCTGTCCAAATGTAAAATGAGAGCAGTGACAGGTAGCTGGCTAGGCTATTGCCGTACTTAGACATATTGTTTATGAAGTGCCCAGTATAGCCTCTGACACATAAAAGGTACTTGGTGAATATTTTTGTCAGGTTATATATTTGTATCTAACAGTAGTTTTCAAAAAGCAAACAAAACAAACTGATGGCCACCTTTCTAGAGTCTCAGTTAGCCAAAGGGGTGGCATTTTGATTGGCCAGCAAAGAGTTACAGCACATAAAATCATCAGGGAACAGGGACTGCAGAGGCCACCAATAAATTACTGTGCAGAGTTGGGCAAGATTCTTAATCTCTGGAGCCTCAGTGTCCTCATCTCTAAGATAAGAAAACACAGGGAGAGTATCTGGCATGTAGCCATCTGGTAGCAAACAGAAGGCCCTTTCCTCCTCTTCCTCCCCATACCTCCTGCCTTGGAAGCCTCCAAATGGCTCGGCTCCAGATATCACTGGATCCAGGTCACTGAGATCTTTGTCCTTTGAGTTTGCAGGCATCGTTCTCAAAGCTTCCTGAGATAGCAACTGTCTTAGTCAGTTTGGGCTGCTGTAATAGAACGCCACAGTCCAGGTGGCTTAAGCAACAAACATTTATTACTTACAGTTCCAGAGGCTGAAAAGTCCAAGATCAAGGTGCCAGCAGATTAAGTTCTCGGTGAGGGCTGCCTCTTGGCCTGCAGACAGCCTCCTCCTTGCTATGTACTCACAGAGCCTTTCCTCGGTGCATGCTCATAATCGGTCTTCCTCTTTTTTTTTTTTTTTTTTTAATTTTTGAGATGAAGTTTTGCTCTGTTGCCCAGACTGGAGTGCAGTGGCATGACCTTGGCTCACTGCAACCTCCACCTCTTAAGTTCAGGTGATTCTCCTGCTTCAGCCTCCTGAGTACCTGGGATTATAAGTGTGTGCCACCATGTCCAGCTAATTTTTGTATTTTTAGTAGAGACCAGGTTTTGCCATGTTGGCCAAGCTGGTCTCAAACTCTGGATCTCAAGTGATCTGCCTGTCTTGGCCACCCAAAGGGCTGGGATTATAGGTGTGAGTCACCACCTTTGATCTGTCTTCCTCTTCTAATAAAGGCACTGATCTCATCATGAGGGTCCCACCCTCATGACCTTATCTCAATACCATTACATTGGGAGTTAGGGCTTCAGCATATGGATTTGGGATGTTGGGAACATAAATATTTAGCTTATAACAGCAGCTTTACGTCTGAGCAAACCAACTAACCCCGTTGAAACTGTTTGCATTTCTAAAAGAGAAATAGTGATGTCTGCATGTTCCACAGACAATCTCTTTCAGTCACTGTAATGGGCTTGGCCCACAACATGCCCTACTGTTGCCTGCTCTCTGACCCAGTGCATACTCTTTCCTCTGCTTGGAATCTGCCTGTTCTCCAAGCACTTCCCATTCACCCATTCATCTCTTCAAGATGCAATGTCTTCTCCTGCAGGCAACCCAGCCCCACCTATGCTCTTACCTTACTGTGCTGATCCCTGTCCCTCTTCCAAGGGGCTGTGAGGAGCTCATGAGCACCTAGATCATATGTCCCATCTCAGTCTTATTCTTCAGTGCCTAGCCATCTGCCTGGCATGTAGTAGGTGCCTACTAGGTGTTTGGATCCATGAATGTAATACTGTTCACTCTGCAGAAAGACAGAGATAACAGTGGATGCATTGCTTTAACCACTGGTGAAAAAGACATCAGCAGAGAATGTAAGAAAGTGATTGAAGTAGGGATAGGATTGCTCACAATATTTAAACAAAAACTCCAGGCCACATGTGGTAATTCACCCGCGTAATCCCACCGCTTTGGGAAGCTGAGGTGGGAGGATTGCTTGAGGCCAGGAGTTTGAGACCAGCCTGGTCAGCATAGCCACAACCTGTGTCTAAAAAGATAAAATAAAATAACTAAAAATGACTAGCCAGGCATGGTGGTGGCATGTACCTGTAGGCACAGCTACAAGGGAGAGTGAGATAGGAGGACCGCTTGAGCCCAGAAGTTCAAGGCTGCAGCGAACTATGATCACAGCACTGCACTCCAGCCTGGGCAACAAAGCAACACCTTGTCTCTAAAATAAAATAAATTTCCTACTTCAATGGCATAGCAGGGCCAGACAGAGAAAAAAGCACCCTATCTGGATGGTAAGTGCCACGAAGGTACTCAGAAACCGGCCAGCTTTCCGGCGAGGGGCTTTTGTCTGTTTGAACATTCCACACAGGTTGATCTCAGCAGAGCAACTGTGTCTGATAGAAGCAAAGTCTCTACTTACAAATCACGAAGCTGAGAGTGAGCATGAACAGCTAATGATCATCTTAATTAACCCACAAAACTTTATGTACGACCAGTGTTCAGCCAACCTTTTGATCCTAGGCAGAAATCTATTAAAGCCAGTTAAGAGAATGAAAAGACAAAATCTGACAAATGCTTTTACCTTGGTGGATATAAAAGTTGGCGGGCTTGATAAATCTGAGAGTGATCTATTTGCCAATAGCAATATTACATTAAGTTGGGGAAACATCATTCCCTTAAATGCAAGCTAAGTGAGTGGCCTGAATAATGGCTTACAATTACATGTGTCCAGGGCCTGTTGAGGCTGGAGAGGATAGAATTCACACCACTGCTTTGGAATGAACTCATTTTCTCCAAAGGAGTAGTTTCTAAGCTTGCCTTGAGTAGGAACTGGTTTCAGAATCTAATGGAAATTGTGGGCTGGCTCCTGGAATAATGCACATGGTATGTGCACAGAATACCGGATGATTCTCAGGGGGTTCATTCTCTGAGATGTTCATCTGTGGGCTTCAGTTCCGAATCCCTGCTCCTAGGAGGCTTGAGGGTCTGGTGTGTAGATTTTCAACTGCAAATGTGAGGTGTCTTATTAGAATCATCTTTGAAACCTTTTTTTTTTGGAGACAGAGTTTCACTCTTTTGCCCAGGCTGGAGTGAAGTGTTATGATCTTGGTTCACTGCAACCTCCCCTCCAGGTTCTAGCAATTCTCCTGCCTCAGCCTCCTGTGTAGCTGGGATTATACGCACCTGCCACCACACCCAGCTATTTTTTGGAATTTTAGTAGAGATGGGGTTTTGCTATGTTAGCCAGGCTGGTCTTGAACCCCTGACCTCAGGTGATCCACCCACCTTGGACTCTGAAATTTTTCAAAATACACATTTCCCCCAAGTCATATAAAAGCATATTATTGGAGCCTTCTAGGAGGAAAAAATTGCAATGATGTTGAAACTTAAGCATTTTGGAAAACACCCGAATATTTCCCTCCCTCCCTCCCTCCCTTTCTTTCTTTCTTTTCTTTGGAGATGAAGTCTCGCTTTGTCACCCAGGCTGGAGTGCAGTGGTGTGATCTCGTTCACTGTAACCTCTGCCTCCTGAGTTCAAGCGATTCTCCTGCCTCAGCCTCCTGAGTAGCTGGGATTACAGGAGTGCCCTACCATGCCCAACTAATTTTT